CATAGTGCAATCAAGTTAGAACTCAGAATTCAGAAACCAACTCAGAACCGCACAGCTTCATGGAAACTGAACAACTGGCTCTTGAATGTTGATTGGATAAACAATGAAATGAAGGCAGAAATAAAGAAGTTCTTCGAAACCCATGAGAATGAAGACACAACATACCAGAATCTCTGGGACACATTTAAAGCAGTCTCTAGAGGAAAGTATATAGCAATAAGTGCCCACATGAGAAGAGTGGAGAGATCCAAAATTGACACCCTATTGTCAAAATTGAAAGAGCTAGAGGAGCAATATCAAAAGAACTCAAAACCTAGCAGAAGACAAGAAATAACTAAGATCAGAGCAGAACTGAAGGAGATAGAGACACGAAAAACCCTTCAAAAAAAAAATCAATAAATCCAAGAGCTGGTTTTTTGAAAAGATCAACAAAATAGACAGACCACTAGCCAGACTGATAAAAAAGAAAAGAGAGAATAACCAAATACATGCAGTAAAAAACGATAAAGGGGAAATCACCACAGAGTCCACAGAAATTCAAACCATCATCAGAGAATATTACAAACAAATCCATGCACATAAACTAGTAAACCTGGAAGAAACGGATAAATTCCTGGACACTTGTGTCCTCCCAAGCCTAAACCAGGAGGAAGCCAAAAGTATGAATAGACCAATAGCAAGGTCTGAAGTTGAGGCAGCAATTAAGAGCCTACCACACAAAAAAAGCCCGGGTCCAGATGGGTTCACAGCCGAATCCTACCAGACACACAAGGAGGAGCTGGTACCATTCCTTCTGAAACTATTTCAAATAATCCAGAAAGAGGGAATCCTTTCCAAATCATTTTATGAGACCAACATCATCCTGATACAAAAACCCGGCAGAGACTCAACAAGAAAAGAAGACTTCAGGCCAATATCCATGATGAACATAGATGCAAAAATCTTCAATAAAATACAGGCAAGCCGCTTGCAACAGCACATCAAAAAGCTTATCCATCATGATCAAGTAGGATTCATCCCGGGGATGCAAGGCTGGTTCAACATACGCAAGTCTATAAAATGTAATTCACCACATAAACAGAACCAAAAACAAAAAACCTCATGATTATCTCAATTGATGCAGAGAAGGCCTTTGACAAAATTCAACAGCCCTTTATGCTAAAAACCCTCAATAAACTCGCTATTGACGGAACGTATCTCAAAATAATACAAGCTATTTATGACAAACCAACAGCCAATATCATACTGAATGGGCAAAAACTGGAAGCATTTCCTTTGAAATTCGGCACTAGACAGGGATGCCCTCTCTCACCACTCCTTTTCAATATAATACTGGAAGTTCTAGCAAGAGCAATCAGGCAAGAAAAAGAAATAAAGGGTATTCAAATAGGAAAGGAGGAAGCCAAATTGTCTCTATTTGCAGACGACTTGATAGTATATCTAGAAGACCCCATCATCTCAGCCGAAAAACCCCTAAAACTGATAAGCAACTTCAGCAAAGTCTCAGGATATAAAATCAATGTGCAAAAATCACAAGCATTCCTATACACCAATAACAGACTTAAACAGAGACGAATCAAGAACAAACTGCCATTCACAATTGCTACGAAGAGAATAAAATACCTAGGGCTACAACTTACAAGGAACGTAAGGGACCTCTTCAAGGAAAACTACAAACCACTGCTCAACGAAGTAAGAGAGGACACAAACAGATGGAGAAACATTCCATGTTCATGGTTAGGAAGAATCAATATCGGGAAAATGGCCATACTGCCCAAAGTAATTTACAGACTCAACGCTATCCCCATCAAGCTACCATTGACTTTCTTCACAGAACTGGAAAAAACCACCATGAACTTCATATGGAACCAAAAGAGAGCCCACATAGCCAAGTCAATTCTCAGCAAAAAGAACACAGCAGTAGGCATCACACTACCGGACTTCAAACTACACTACAAGGCTACAGTAATCAAAACAGCATGGTACTGGTACCAAAACAGAGATGTAGACCAATGGAACAGAACAGAGGCATCGGAGGCAACACAACATATCTACTACCATACAATCTTTGATAAACCTGACAAAAACAAGCAATGGGGAAAGGGTACCCTGTTCAACAAATGGTGTTGGGAAAACTGGCTAGCCATGTGCAGAAAGCAGAAACTGGACCCCTTCCTGACACCTTACACTAAAATGAACTCCAGATGGATTAAAGACTTAAACATAAGACCTGGCACCGTAAAAACCCTAGAAGGAAATCTTGGCAAAACCATTCAGGACATAGGAGTAGGCAGGGACTTCATGACCAAAACACCAAAAGCATTGGCAACAAAAGCCAAAATCGACAAATGGGACCTAATGAAACTCCACAGCTTCTGCATGGCAAAAGAAACAGTCACTAGAGTGAATCGGCAACCAACAGAATGGGAAAAAATTTTTGCAGTTTACCCATCTGACAAAGGGCTGATATCCAGAATTTACAAAGAACTCAAACAGATTTACAGGAAAAAAACAAACAAGCCCATTCAAAAGTGGGTGAAGGATATGAACAGACACTTTACGAAAGAAGACATATATGAGGCCAACAATCATATGAAAAAATGCTCATCGTCACTGGTCATCAGAGAGATGCAAATCAAAACCACATTGAGATACCATCTCACGCCAGTTAGAATGGCGATCATTAAAAAATCTGGAGACAACAGATGCTGGAGAGGATGTGGAGAAAAAGGAACACTTTTACACTGTTGGTGGGAGTGTAAATTAGTTCAACCATTGTGGAAGACAGTGTGGCGATTCCTCAAGGCCTTAGAAATAGAAATTCCATTTGACCCAGCAATCCCATTACTGGGTATATATCCAAAGCACTATAAATCATTCTACTATAAGGACACATGTACACGAGTATTCATTGCAGCACTGTTTACAATAGCAAAGACCTGGAATCAACCCAAATGCCCATTGACGATAGACTGGATTGGAAAAATGTGGCACATATACACCATGGAATATTATGCAGCAATCAGAAATGATGAGTTTGTGTCGTTTGTAGGGACATGGATGAATCTGGAGAACGTCATCCTCGGCAAACTGACACAAGAACAGAAAATGAAACACCGCATATTCTCACTCATAGGCGGGTGATGAAAAATGAGAACACATGGACACAGAAAGGGGAGTACTAAACACTGGGGTCTATTGGGGGGAAAAGGGGAAGGCCAGTGGGAGGGGGAGGTGGGGAGGGATAACCTGGGGAGAAATGCCAAATGTGGGTGAAGGGGAGAAAGGAAGCAAAGCACACTGCCATGTGTGTACCTACGCAACTGTCTTGCATGCTCTGCTCATGTACCCCAAAACCTAAAATGCAATAAAATATAAAAAATAAAAAAATAAAATAAAAAAGAAGTAGAAATTCCATTTGACCCAGCAATCCCATTACTGGGTATATATCCAAAGGACTATAAATCGTTCTACTATAAGGACACATGCACACCAATGTTCATTGCAGCACTGTTTACAATAGCAAAGACCTGGAACCAACCCAAATGCCCATCGATGATAGACTGGACTGGGAAAATGTGGCACATATACACCATGGAATATTATGCAGCAATCAAAAACGATGAGTTCCTGTCCTTTGTAGGGACATGGATGAATCTGGAGAACATCATTCTCAGCAAACTGACACAAGAACAGAAAATGAAATACCGCATATTCTCACTCATAGGCGGGTGATGAACAATGAGAACACGTGGACACAGGGAAGGGAGCACTACACACTGGGGTCTATTGGGGGGAACAGGCGGGGGGGAGCTGGGGAGGGATAGCATGGGGAGAAATGCCAGATGTGGGTGAAGGGGAGGAAGGCAGCAAAGCACACTGCCACGTGTATACCCATGCAACTATCCTGCATGTTCTGCACATGTACCCCCAACCTAAAATGCAATAAAAAAATTCTTAAATTACAAGGTTTTGTTAGTTGCACGACTTTTTTGGTTTATTATTTTTTTTCATTTTATTGTGGTAAGAACACGTAACATGAGATCTGCCCTCAATAACATTTTCAGTACATAATACCATATTGTTAACCATAGGCACAGGATTGCACAGCAGGTCCCAGTAATGTGTTCCTCTTGCACAATGGAAACTTTATACACACATAATAGCAACTCCCTGTTTCCCCCTCCCTCCCGGTTCAAGCAGCCGACATTGCACTCCTGTTTTTTGAGCTTGATTGCTTTAGATAGCTGAAATAATTAGAACCCGCATTATTTGTGTGTGTTGGCAGGAATTCCTTCTTCATGGAGGCTGAATAATGTGCGATTTTATGTATATACCACATTTTACCTATCCATTCACCTGCTGATAAACATTTAGGTTGTTTCCATATTGTGTTTTGATCTTGACTGTTAGATGTAATGCTTCAATAAAGGTGGGAGTCCATACATGGCTTCAAGGCCCAGATTTCAATCCTTTTGGATATATACTCAACAGTGGGATTTCCAGATCACATACTAGTTCCATTTTGAATTTTTTGAGGAGCCACTCTGGCGTACTCCACAGTGGCTGCACGGTTTTACATGCCTACTCCCGTGTGCCTGGGTTGGAATTTTTCTACATCTTCTCCAACACTTGTTATCTTTTGCTTTCTTTGATAATATTTCAAAGTGTGAGCTGATACCTCATTGTGGTTTTGATTTGCATTTCTCTGATTAGTGATCTTGGGCACTTCTTTATATACTGTTGGGCATTCCTGCATCCTCTTTGGAGAAACGTTATTCGAGTCTTTTGCCCATTCTTTAGTCAGTTTGTTGTCGTCTTTTTTGGCATTGAGTTGTAGGAGTTCCTTGTATAGCTTGGATATTAATCACTTATCATAGCTATCCTTTTCTTTTTTTTTTTTTAGTTTTTATTGGATTTTAGGTTTTGGGGTACATGAGCAGAGCATGCAAGACAGTTGCGTAGGTACACACATGGCAGTGCATAGCTATCCTTTTCAACTCTCTTTTCCCATAAATCTCCTAGAAGAGAACATAGGTGAAAAGTTCCATGGCGTTTGTCTTGGAAATTACTTCTTGAATATGACAAAAAGCACAAGCAACAAAAAGCCACTTTAGACAGGAGAGATTACGTCTAACCAAAATCCTACGTTGAACCGAATGAAGCAATCGACACAGTGAAAAGGCCACCTACAGAATGGGAGTTGCTCCACCTTTGAATATACTCACAACCACTGCACTGTACACTTTAAACGGGTGAAATTTGTGGTATCTGAATTGTATCTCAATAAAGCTGTTTCTTTGAATGAAGGAGGAAAGAATCTCTGGAGAAATTAAAAATGTTCATAAGTTATTCCTGAGTTAACGTACGTACTGATAATACGTTAGGATACAAGTTGGAGGGATCTTTTTGAGTTATTACAAAACGAAACCCGTACGAAGACTTCCAGAAGGCTGAAAAGCATCAATGCGGTAGGAGGTTTCCAAAGCGACCTCACTGGCAGAGCAGCAAGGTTGCAAGAACAATGTGAAAACAAAGCTATTTCTCAGGCGTGACCTTCGTGATTGTTTCTGTCTCAGACTCCCATGGATACCGCCTGCTTTCCGATCCTGGATATGCAGTCCTCTTATTGGCTCCATGTGCAACCTGATATTCTCACATCAGGTTCCTTTTCGGTTGAGCAACCGTGAGTGTTTTTCTGTTGTTTGTAATCAAACCTACTGATGGATACAGGAGGTGGCAGATGTAGGTGTTATTTACATCTATGAAGTGAAAGGAAATTTCTTAGAGAGAAAATGTAGAAAAGGAGGAAACAAAGCCACAATCTGGAGCATAGCAGCAAAAAAGAGGAAGAGGAGCCGGGAAATAACTCAAAGAATAAGATCTACCCTGGAAGGAAGATCACCAGAAGACAATGGTTTCGTGGAAATGTTTACTTGGGATTTCTCTTGAAATCCACACTATTTGAAGAGACTGGCAGTGGACAGCATGTTCAATGCTACCAGGAGGGCAAGCCAAGTCAGAAGGATGATAATTGGATTTGACAGTATGAAAGTTACTAAAGAGCATGAAGAAAAGCATATTTGGAGGACAGAAGGCCATGCAAGACATTGGAGATGGAGATGAGGAAGTGGTGGCAACCTGTTCCAACAACTCGCCAGAAAAGTTTTGCTGTGAAGGGCAGCAGGTACGTGAGAGAACAGCTGGTGGGGAAGGGTGGCCAAGGGAAGGTGCTTGTTTACCATGGAGGACGGTGGAGCGTAATTGTACGCTGATGGGAATAAGCACTGGAGCAAGAGATTTTGAAGATGCAGAGAAACAGTGGATATCTGCAGGAATTCAAACTGTGAAAGGGTGAGGGGTAAAGATGGGATCAAACAGAGAAGCTGGCTTTGTTAAAAATATGGGCGACCAGCCCCGTGATTCAGGCTCTCAGTTAAAGCCGTGCTGATAACCTCCATCCGCAGGGATGGCCAAATTGAGAATGAGGGATTGGCAGGGCAGAGATGTCCAGAGGATGAGGAAATGAAGTCTGAAGTCTATAGGAGCCAGGCTGAGTAACGAAGGCTAATGTACACTGACAAATTCAAATTTTGAGAAAGGTATTTGTCAGACATATTTTTAAATTTTTTAACATTTTGATTTTTATTTCTGCAGGCGGGGTCTTGCTGTGATGCACAAACTCATCCTGAACTCCTGGCTTCAAAGTGGAGTCTCCCAAAGCTCTGTCCAGTGGTGCTGTCATAACTCACTGCAGCCTCGAACTCCTGGGCTCAAGTCATCCTCCTGCATCAACCTCTGGAGTAGCTGAGATCACAGCCATATACCGCTAAGGTTTCCTGTTTTTGTTTCTTTGGAGATGAGGTCTCGCTACATTGACCAGGCTCGTGTCCAACTCCTGGCCTCGGAGAATCCTCCTGCCCCAGTGTCCTGCATAGCTGGGGTTATAGGTGTGAGCCACTGCACAGAGCTGGATGAGGGATAATGATGGGACACTCATAGCTCCTTAGTGTTTGGGTGATTGTCTCTGTGTGTTCATATGTTCACAGGGAGCTGGAGACATAGACAGATCCCATTATTGAGACATAAAGAAATCCCTGCAATGAAGCAGGTTAATGGAGGAGACTTTCTCCTTTCCAGGAAGATAAAAGGGCGGTGCTCAAAACAGGAGGAAAAGCCACGAACAGGGATTCCCCTGAAATGGAATGTCCTCAGAAGACCTTATCTTTTCCGTGGGAGGCAGGGGATGGGTGGTTCTTTTTGGATTCCAGAAGCACGAATACTTAGCCATCGCTCACTAATAGTTTGTTCCACTGTAATTTCATGTAGTCACTACTGACCCTTCATTGGAATCTGTAACTGGCGTAACCTCTACAGTCCTGTGAGTGGTACTGTTGGGGATTTAAGGAGCAGAGCAGTTGAAGCGAAGCGCTGCCACCCTGGCATTGCCATTCCCCATGGGTACTTCTCCAAGGGAAATTGGTCATGGTCATCCAGACAGAGACCAGCAGCCGAGTGGATTTGAGCTCCCCTGAGAGGGCTGTGAACCACAGGGGAGTCACTGGCAGGTGGGTACTGAGCAGGGCATGTGAGACAAACCCCCTGACCAAAAGGAGACTGGACATCCCCTAATGTCCATGGGGGTCGGGAAGGTGGGAAGACCTTCCTGTGGTTCCTTCTGGTGTGGGGCATGGGTGTTGTTGTGGGTTGCTCCACTGCAGTAAAGACGAGCTCACTTGGATATTTTGAACTGAGGGGTTACAGGACATGGAAAATGGTGGGCAGCCGGGGCCCAGGAGAGGAGAATGCAGGTGGAGAAAGGGACTTCAGAGAGTCACTGGAATCAATGCAAGGAAGGGAAGGGAAGTTGGGGGCCTATGCCCAGCTTTTGAGTTGCCATTTTTCACAAATTCAGTGTAGGATGTCTCATGTCCCGCCTGGCACCCTGTTTGTCCAGCCTCTGGTAAGGGAAGCCAATACACAGGACGCGGTGGGCTGCTCAGGAGGACGGGCAGGGAACAGGACTCTCATTAGTTTGGCCACCTGCAGAAGTGGGAGACTATCAAAACCGTCCCTCCTCTGAGTCTCCCCAAGGCCCTGGCAGAACAGGAGTGTGGCAGGAAGGGGGAGCCCTAGGAACTGGTCCCATGGTCTGGGCTGAGGACTCCCAGGCCACTGAGGAGAAGAGAGACCGGGTGTGTCCTGTGTGACTCTGGCGGGAAGGATCGGGGAACCCTTCTGAGACAGCATTTCTGAAATTGGGCTGGCTGCAATGTTCCTTCTGTCAGAACATAGGGATGACTGAAAAAAAAAAAAAAAAAAAAAAAAAAACTCCCCTACTACGGTAGAGGCTAGAGGGTGGGAAAGAGGGAAGCGAGTTGGGGTAGCAGGAATCCTAGGTTCCACAGGCATGGTTTACAGGTACAATACATTGCTGGTAACATGGTGGCTCGGGGACTAGGAAGTCTGTCTCCAAACCACGCAAGTGCATTTAGAGGATGGAGACATTCTGGATTCATGTTGGGCCCATCTTCGTTTCTGTCCTCCTCCACCGAGCATTCAGGGGAGGGCAGGGTAGAACTAAAGTGAATGTTCTTTTCAATCCCTGAACAGGGGCTTGTGTACCTCAGAGGAAGACAGAACACGTACATTTCTCTGCGTTTCTCTTTGTCTCATCCTTAGTCCCTAGACCGTTAGCCCCTGTTGCCATGGGAACTGAAGCTGAGTGTCTGATGCATTCATTGGGCTGTGGGAGAAAAGCAGAGTTGGTCCTTGAAATAAAGGCCCCTGGGGGAGAGGATTCTAGCAAGGCAGTCACATGGAAACAATTCACAACTCCCACAGATATATTGATCCCTGCAATTATTAGTACACACACACACACACACACGCGCGCGCGCGCGCTCGCGCTTCATCCTGAACAGATATGATGTACAGTGCATCACACTGGCTGGCCCAGAGGGTTCTTGTGGGAGAGGCCAGGTCTCCATAACCATGAAAGTAGTTGCAACTGGTGTAGTCAGGGAGGAATCCCAGGAAGGGGAGTGAGTCCCTTAAACTTGCTAGTTGAAACCCGTACCTGCCAGGGGAAAGGAGGATCTGGTGCAGAGCTTGCATTCGGCAGAGGTGGCTGTCGATGTGACCGGTCCCCCTGTTTGCGTGGGAAGGCCCTGAATGACACGTGCAGCAGGGCCAGAGCTGTCCCACAGGGAGCCCCAGGCTGACGTGGGATGGGAATCCCCTCTTTCCCGTGGCAGGGTAGAGTTCCCAAAGCTGGCAGTTTTCTCCTCCTTACCCTTTCTCCCTCACTGCCCCTTCATCTTGCCCCTTCCTCATCTATCACCCTTTGGTAAAGGACCTCTCCCCTTGTTTCTTTTTCTTTACTCCCTCATTCATTTCCTCTACACTCCTTCCCTCTTTCCTCTCTCTTCCTACCTCACTTCAGCCTCCGTCATCACCCCTCATCTCCCCTCTCTGCCCTCTCTCCTCCATGCTTTGTCTGTCCCTTTGTCCTCCCTCCGAGTTCCCATATCCCTGGCTGCCCTTCCTCTCCCTCTTTCCTTTCTCATGTTGTCCTCCCCGGTTTTCCCCTCGTTTTGCTTTTTCCTTCTCTCTATGCCATTCTCTCTCCTCAGCGTGCCCGCTCCCCCACCTCCCCCCGCCAGGTACTTACCCGGTGACTAATCCTTAGTTCCTTCCATGGTACTGGGCCTAACGTGGGCCTTGTGTGTTTAGCTTCAGCTTCGGAGGGCACCGCGTCCTAAAGTGAATCACCGACTTAATCATTCCTCTGCAAATTGCCATCAGTGATGTGAGGTTCAAGGGCAAGGGGCTGTGAGAGCGCCCAGGAAGGGAGCTCATTTCTGTGGTGGGCTCAGTGAAGAAAATGTCATTGATGCTAGCTCTCGTTCTGCCATCTACCATCCTCTGCCTTCCATTTTATGCTGGGGGCAACTGTCCCCTTCTACCTTTTGCAGCAGGATGGGACTCCTCTCACGGTGTCCTGCCCTCCACAACCCAAGGTGTGAGTTCTCATGAAGTCCAACTGGATGCCCATTCCCTGCAACCTGAGCACCCAACAGACCAAACAGCATGAGGGGTTGTTCCAACTTGCCCAGGGACCCTTGTTCCTGCTCCCAGGTTCCCCTGGGCACCTTTGGTCACGTACTTCAGTCGCCCCTTCTCTTTCTCACCTTCACTTCTCCCCTCTCTGCCCCGTCCCTCTTTCCTGGCTGCATCCTTTCCTCTTAAGGCTTTACCCCCTAAAGACAAAGAAACTGGATGAGGAGACAAAAGAAGGAAAGTAGCAGAAGGTGTGAAGGAGACAGGCGGGCGACATCTGACTTGGCTGATTAAGAGAGCTTGATCTTTTTTGAGGGTGTGGGGCGTTCTCACTCTGTCTGTCTCCCAGGCTGGAGTGCAGTGGTGCGATTATAGCTCCCTGCAGCCTCGAATTCCTGAGCTCAAGTGATTCTCCAGCCTCAGCCTCCCGAGTAGCTGGGACTACATGTTCATTTTTCTGTTTTAGAGACGGAGTCTCACTGTGGTGTCAAGAGAGCTTGGGCATCCGCCGGCAGTAGGGACAGCCGGAAAGCAACCGACTTACCCCGTCTCACCAGACCTTCCAACTGTCTGCCACACTGGCATTGCCAGGTATCCCTGCACGTTGTTGGTAGCGGTGGGGGCTATACATTTCACGATGGCTCTAGAAAGTGTATCTAAAAATCACATAGGCACCCAGGGGATCCCTCTCAACTCCTCCCAGGATGACAAATCTCTCTCCCCCAACTCTGGGAGACGGAGGACAAATGTGCTCTCTGCAGAGCATGAACCAGCAGATTTATGGGCGTCGGAACTTCAGGCTCGCTTGAAGGCATCCGTCCTAACCCGGCATGGGGATTCCAGTTGCTGTCTACAGAAATCTTCAGTCCCTTACCTCCACTGGAGTTTGATATCCAGATTGCTGGCATCTTGCCCCTTCTCAGAGATGCTGGAGAGTCTTCCTGTGGAATCTAAACTTCCCCATTGAGGAGACTTAGTAATAGGGGCGGCAAAGACTGCTGGAGCTTGCTTCATTAGTAAGCTCAAAATATTTTCTTATTTCAACCTTAGTTTTTCTTAGAGCCATGGATTTCTTAGGAGGATGTTTCTTAAATTACAAACATATACGGGGGTGGGGGGGCTGTAATGATCTTTTGTTATTAATTTCTAGATCCCATTGTGGCATTGTGGTCAGACAATATACGAATCACCAAAGAATCCTTTGTTTATGGACATTCCTGGGATTTTATTCATTTAAGTATCTTTATGTGCATTGTAGTGGAATAGAATGCAAAGGTGGAGTTGCCCAAAAAATGAGGGTACCGCTCAGTAGATGGTTACACAGGAACGTCTGATCCCCTGCGATCTGGGTTAAGAAATGGTGTGCTGTGTGGCCAGCAGCCAAAAAGCACACTCATGCCAGTCACTCTTTTCTTCCGCCTCAGCAAATCTAAGCACTCTTGAGCTTTGAACACTTGAAGGTAATTCTGCCTGTTTGTGAACACATCACATATAAGCAGAATCGTTACAGTACATATTTTACAATCTGGGTTTCTCTTGGCAACATTAGGTTTTTCTTTGAACTATTCGCTTTTGTCGTGCTGTGTAGCTGAATTTCGTTTCTTTGCATTCCTGCACAGTATTTTGATTTGCATGACGATGCCACAGTTTGTTCATGCCTTTTTACCTCTAATGGACATTTCAGTAGTTTCCAGTGCTGGAGTGTTAGTGTTATTATCGTGGCGCACGTTCCCAGGCATGTCCTTTGGTTAACGTGCGTATGCATTTAAGGCTGCTCTCGCAGGACCGCCTTGATTACTTTTTCTTCCTTCATGGCACTATAAGTGGTGACAGTGGATGTATCTGTTTTTTTCTTTTTTTTTCCTGTTCTCAGAGGGAAAGCTGTCAACATGTCACCAATGAATATCGTTGTTTTTGTAGGCTTTTAAAGGGTATTTTAAAGGATATTCTGATGGAATCAAAAGAGTTCTTTTTTATTCATAGTTGGCTAAGAGGTTTTATCATAAGTGTGTGATCATTTAAAAAAAATCAAACCCATAAAATACCCTTTCTGCCTCCATAGGGAATATCATATTTTTTCTCTTTCACACATTACTTCTGAGAGAGAGATTTTTCAAGGGCTGAACCGCTTCATTTCTAGAATAGTCTTGAGTTGTTTGTGATACGTTTTCCTTTATGGAGATTTAACTGATTTGTTTTGCTAATGCTTTATTCAAGATTTCTTCCTCTGTGCTTATGCGAAAGACAGGCCTGTGCATTTCATGTCTTACCATGCCCTTGAAGGTTTATGCCTCATAAAATGGGATGGGAATCATTTCCCCTTTTTTATGTTACTTGGCAAGACGGTAAGATTGACATTCTTTCCTTTACAGATGTTTTGTAGAATTAATCGGTGGCGGAATCAAAGTCTGGAGTTTCTTGTGGCTGCTGCTGTTGTTTCCTTCAGATTCCACCCATCTAGAATTTGTAGGACAACTCAGATGTTTAGTCTGTTTCTGTCATTTTGTGGTATTTTCTTGGAATGTGTAAATTATATCCAAAGTTTCAGATTTGCGGGCATAAGGTTGTGTTCATGATTTGGAGTAATGATCTCTTTAATGTGCTCGTTGTCCGTTGCGATGTCTCCTTAGCCACTGCAGACACTGGTTGCTTCATGATCTCTCTCTTTTTCGTTGCCTTTTAATTCCATTTTCTTGCCGAATTGCCCTCTCAAATTCCAGGACTATGTTGAGAAGAAGAGGCAAAAGTGGACATTTGCTTTGCTCCTGATCTCAGAGGAAGAGTTTTCACTCTTTCGCCATCCAGTACGGTGTTCACGGAGAGTACTTTATATAGGGCGCTTGTGATGTTGAGGTTGTTTCCTTCTGTTCCAAGGAGTTTGAGTGTTTTTATCACAAAGGGGGTTGACTTTTGTCAGATGCTTTTAGTGCATCGATTGAGCCGATCATGTGGTTTTTGTCCTTGATTTTGTTGATGCCGTACACTAAATTAATTGATTTTCATTGGTTGAAACTTCTTGCATTCCACAAATGAAGCCCAGGTGGTCGTGGGCTTTTCACTTGTTGTTGAACTGGGTGTGCTAGACTTTTGTTGAATATGTATGCATAAACATTCTTTTGGGGTGTGCGTGTGTGTGTGTGTTTCTGGTCCTAATTCTTCTTTAAATGTTTGGTAGAATCCTCCACTGAAGCCATCTGGTCTTGGGGTTTTCTCTGTTGGGAGGTTGAAGAGGACTGATTAAGTCTCCTTATGAGTTATGGAGATCTGCTGAGAGTTTTTATTTCTTTAAGAGTCAGTCTTGGCAACATGGTACGTTTCTCGGAATTTATCCATTTCTCGAAAATATCAAATTTGCTGGTGTAGAGTTGTCCCTGGTCTTGTTTTTATAATCTTTTTATTTCTGTAGTATCAATTGTAATGCCTCTCTGTCACTCCGATTTCAGTTATTTGACACTTCTCGATTGCTTCTTAGTTAATCTGCTTAATGGGTTCGTCCATTATGTTGGCCTTTTCAGAGACACCAGCTCTTAGGTTCATTGTTTTTTTTTTACTCTATTATTTGTCGATTCTCCATTTCCTTTATTCGTGCTCTAATCTTTATTACTTCCTTCCTTCTGCTAACTTTGGGTTTATGTTGTTCTTCCCTTTCTAGTTTTTGAAACATAAAGACAGGTTGTTGATTTGAGATCTGTCTTCTTTTTCACCGTAAGCATTTAACACAATAAACTTGCCCCTTAACACTGCTTTCCCTGCATCTCCTTACTTGTGGTATATGGTGTTTTCATTTTCATGTGTCTCAAGATATTTTCTAATATCCTTGTGGTCTGTTCTTCGACCCATTGCTTATTGAAGAGAGTGTTGTAATTTCCACCTATGTGTGACTTTTTAAGTTCTCCTTCTGTTATTGGTTTCTAGTTTCATTCAGTTGTGGTCAGAAAAGATACTTGGTATGATTTCAAACTTCTGAAATCTGTGAAGATCCTAAATGTCAGCAAAAAAGCTAAAGCATAAGACCTCTGGAAGAAAATGGAGGATGAAGCCTTGAGAATCTTGCTGTAGGCGAAGAACTCTTACAGCTATGACACAGAACGCGATAGCCACGCAAAAACAGGTTAAGTGAATTTCATCAAATTTAGAAATCTGGCTTTTCATCGTTAGCAAAATGAGAAAGCAAACCATTGGTTGTGACAATGTTTGCTAAATACACTGCCCGACAAAGGAAAAGTTTGCACACAAAAAAGCACTCTTACAATTCCGTATTGACGCCAAATAACAATCAATGGGCAAACCGGGTGAAGGGTTCTTCATGTGCACACCCCAAACGATATGCCACTGGTCAAGGGAAGAGGCTGGGCCAAAGTCACTAGTGGAGGCAGCGGCAGAGCTGGGTCGGAGATCTCCGGCAAATCACTTCCCTTCTCTGAGCCTGTTTCCTCAAGTGTATGAGGAGGATGTACAGTAGTAGCTCAGACTGTCTTTGAGGGTGTCATGAGGCAGTGGGCACTACGCCCTTGGCCCAGGGCCTGATGAGGACAAAAACAAGGAGGAGCAGCAGGATGGATGCCCAGGAAGGAAAGCACCCAAACCGATGTCTTGGGAGGCTGGGAGGGAGGGTGCAGGCCTCGGAAACCTAGCATGGAACCTGGCTTTCGGGGAAGCCATGAGGGGTGGCGACCATGCAAAATGAAGGGAGATGGGGAGTGGTATGTGCAGGCGGGCGGGAGGGTGGGTGTCAGGAGAGAGTGCCCAGCAGGTAGGTGTATCACCCCCAGGACACTGTGAGCCCCTGGATGGCAGGGGTGGCCACCAGCAGGGCCCAGTGCATGCAGCCTGGCCTCAGGGGGCCCCGGGTTCAAGTCCGTGCTCTGCTGCTTCCTGGCTGTGTAACTTGGGGAGAGTGTCTTCCCTCTCAGAGCCTCGGTTGGCTGAGACCATGAAATGGGCTTACCACCCCTGCCTCTCAGGCTTGCCTGAGAAATGGAAACATAGGCCCAGACAAGAAGTTGTACACGGGTAATCAGAACAACTTTATGGATAATGTCAATAACTGGAAACAAGTGAATGCACGAATGCTCGTCCATCGCCAGGTCTGGGGCGGGGGTGATCAGAGAGAGAGCAGGCCGGGCTGGGAGAAGGCTGTGGGAGCTGTCCAGTGCCACAGCAGGGTCTCAGAAAACACTTGCTGGTGTGGACTGTGGGGCTTTGTCGCGTGGGGTCTGCAGAATGCCCCAGGCTGAAAGTGGAGGGGAAACCTGCCTGGGTCTCATGTTTGCCGTGTGAGTGAGGTGGTGGGCGTCTCCAGGGTGGCCGGTCTGAGCCTCCTGCAGGAGTCCCACTCCAGTCTGCCCCCATTTTCCACCAGGGCACTCCTGCCTCCCTGCTCTCCTCCTCTTTTCCCAGCTGCTTTCAGCGCTGCCGCTACAGGGTAGGGGGAGTGGGCCCCTGGCGAGGCCCCACCGCAGCAAGGTGACATGAAAGGTGCAGTGTCTAGCAAGCCTGTAGGCCTGTGGAGGCGGTGACCTGCCTCTGAGAGCTGCTTCCTGTTCCTTTCCGGTTGAGCTTCCGTATCTCAAGTGCCCTCTGCACACTGTGCTCAAACTCACTCCTGTGGCTAATGGAGACTTCCCCCACCCCGATCCAAGGAGAGGCATGTACCTGCTATGTGCACAGGGATATCCAGGGAGGTTCCGGCCAAATAGCGTTAAACTTGTGAAACCAGGGCTGGAGTCCCAGAAATCCCTCGTCTCTTCCACAGCCCAGACCATAGACCAGGAGATGTAAAGGGAATGGGGACTCCGTTTCTGTGTGTGTGTGGGGGGGGGGGGGCGGTGTGTGCCTGTAAAACTCTGGGACTGGATTTTTGTCAGAGTCCCAGAATGTCAGTGTGGCCAAGCATGGAGTGAAGCACCAGAGAAGCAGAAATCACAGCGGCAGCCAACATGGAGACACAGCCAATCCTCCCTGAAGGACAGCTTCCTGGGGATGCAACCTATGCAGTGTGATGCTCACAAGGGCTCCCCATGTGGCCCCATGCTCTGCTGTCATTGTTTTGAAATCCTTCACAGTTTTTGACAAGGAGACTCATGTTTTCATTTTCCACTGGGCCTCCCAAATTAGGTAGCACGGTCTGGGTCAGGATCTGGACCTGGCAGAGACGGGAGCCCCTCCGGGGGAAACAGAGGCTGGGGTGGGGGTAGGGGGAGGCAGGGAGCCTTCCACTACTGTGTCCTCCTTCCTCATCTAGGGCTCTGTCCTCCCAAACCCTGGACAATACCAGGGAACTCCAGAAAGCCCTGGACACTGTCCCTGCCTGCCACTGAGCCCTTCCCAGGAGGCCAAACTGTCTGCCCTTACTGTCTGGCACCTGAAGCGTGTGCAGCCCTACCTCAGAGCCCTCCAGACATCACCCAACCCTTGAACACTCCAGGACCTAGGTAGGCCTGGTGTCGTCCTCACTGGGAGAGCCCTGCTTCTGGGGGAGAAGGGCTGCGAAGCCCCAAACAGGCCGCCTTCCGTCACAGGCGACGGACTGTGTCTGCCTGCACAGTGGCTTGTTTTCATGACATCCTGCTCCCTCGGCAATCACGGCCCCTCCTCCTACCCACTGGAGGGCTGCCAACATCACTGCGAGGCCCACCTCATTGTCCGTCAGACTCCGTACCGAGGATGGGGTCCTGCACTGTGTGGGTGATGAGCCCAGGGTTCCGGAACATCGTCTCCGAGGAGGGGGTGTGGGAGGTGGGTCCTGGCGAGAGCCTTGGACCCTGTCCCTGGCGGGAGGGGCAGTGGCACCGGCACCAAGCTGCCGTCTTCCACCCCACCCCTGCTCCGGCCTCCCTTTTGCCATGCCCCTGGGGCTGCCGGTCAAGGCTTGTAGAAAAATCACATAACCACGAGCGCTGGGGCCTCTCCAAACTCCTGGTCACACACTCAGCTGCAACCAACCGCCGCACCTCCCAGCATCCCACCTGTCCCCGTGGGCCTTTTTGGCAGAGGTGGGGCCCACCTACCCCAGAGAGCCCGAGGAAGTGGCCTTGCTACAAGCCCAAGCACAGCCAGGTGGAGTAATGGGGGGCAGGTGAAGGAAGAAACATCCAAACTAATTTTACAACTTTAATGTAACACTGATACCCAAAACATGAAAGCACAAGGAAAAGCACACAACGAAAGCAGGAAAAGCAAAGAGAGCTGCATCTTGCACGCCACTTCCGATGGACAGAAAGCAGCTGCCTAGGGTGCTGTGTCCAGAGGGAATCTGAGAGGAGGCGCTCTGGCTTGGCCAGTAAGATCGCTGCAGTTCCTCAGCGGTGCCTATAAAAGTGCAAGAAACCAAAGTGACAACATCCACGGACACACCCGCGATCCGGGGAGGGGTGTACGTAACAAAATAAGTGTCGGTCCACGCTGTCGCCGTTGCCCCCATCTCCCACCCCAGCCCTCCCTCTGACATCTCACCCCTCTCCGCAGCCCTCCTGCAGAGTCCCGTTTCTCTACCGAAACTCTTACTGGATCCAGGAGAAAAAGCTGGCGCCAGCTCTGGCGGCATTTCTGGTGCGGATGGTGGAGCTGGTGCTAGGGCCGTCTAGGACGCTGGTGCTGGCCCCTCCGTTGGTGCCACTGCTGACACCAGCTCTCCACGTGGCCCTCCTGTTGGCACGGTTGCTGTTCAGAATGTACTGATGGTATCTGGCCCAGAAAGCAAAGGGGATCCTGGCCCAGGCGTCGCCAAAATCTCCGTCCTCGTCCCAGGTCAGGAGCTCGACCTGTATGTCATCCCAGCTCCACCGTCCAATCAGAGCCTCATCCCCAATATTCATCTGGGCCCTCATCTGGGCCCTGGCATGCTCCTCGGCCATATCCACATCCATCTTCTTGAAAGCATCATCCACAGCCTCCAAGAAACGAGCCTTCCACTCCCGGGGGTCTCGGTTCTGATTCTGAGGAGGAAAGGGGCAAGTGTAGACATGGAGCTACCCCACACGGGCTGAGCGCCCTCGGCCCGCCTCACCCCCTCCTTGCGCTTTGCCTAATGCCGGCAAAAACCAAGACCACAGGGATCGGGGGCCCCTGCTATCCTGTGCCAGACCTGGGATTCTGCCCCATCTGTGACCTTGTGTAGGGTGCTCAGGTCCTCTGTGAGTGTCGGTATCCTCAGTGGAATACGGGATAACGGGAAGGAGGCCTCGACCCAGAAACCAGCAAGACGTGGAGACCACCACCCCCAGTGCGGGGTGCCGGACAGAGGCCCCCCCTTACCTGGGCGATGAATCTCAGGACCCTCATCTTGCTGGTCTCATGGCGGGCGCGCAGTCCCCACAAGAATTCATACTCAGGCGGGTTGCTGTTGGGGATCTTCTTGTATTCCAGGTACCTTGGCGTGAGAGGGAAGGAAACTTGGCTTCTAGCCAAGCAGACCTGGCGCTGAATGGATGGGTCCCAGGGGGCCCCTCCTCAGCCTGATGCTGCAGCTCCTCTCCTGGAAGAGGACTGCCCCGCCCCTCCAGCCCTTCTCTAATCCCCAAACCCACTCGCAGGACTTCTTCCTGCAACAGTGAGGCCTTCAAAGCCTCTTGCCATTGGTCCTCCCCGGAGGCCACGTGGAGGTGCAGGGGGGACACATGTAGGGCCTTTATCTGTAGCGAGGCCACAATGTTATGCCCCTCATCACTACGAGCCCTGATTTCTGTTGGGTGTGTGTAAATCAGAGGAGCCATTCTTCAGGCCCCCTGCTCTGAGCACACCCCGCCTTGCCTCGAGGGTCTTGGCCACGCCCTGGCAGAGCCCCGGAGAGGCCCACCAGAGGAAACGACCAGAAAGGGAGAAATAGCCAGCCAGGAGAAGCGTGGCCCAGACATCCTCCTGAAGTCCTGACCCTTTGTGGGTGTGCATGCGCGCCTGTGCGTTGGCAAGTCCTCCAGGGACGGGGATAGGGTGGGCCCTGGCCTGAAAATCAGGAGATTCTGGGCTGAGGCCCTGACCAGCTGTGAGCCACGCTCAGAGGCGCCCCCTCTGTGAGCCCCAGGTTCCTTAGGTGTAAACCGGGGTTAACCGTTGTGTCAGTCTACGGGGCAGGTGTTCAAGGAGACAGTGGCCGTTATCATACCTCACACCGTGTCCTCCCGTGACGTGCGCTCCCTTTTCCCAACACCGCCCTGGCCTTCGGCTCCCCACACGCTCACATAGCCCTCCCGCCACTCACTACCAGGCCAGAGGCACCCATCATCCCTCCAGTTGAAGATTTGAGATAGGAAACGATGGCTCTCTCAGCCAGACCAGAACAAGAGGACGCCCGAGTGAGAGACGCAGTTGGCTCAGGCGATACTTACTTCTGCTTCACAAAGTCATCTGTGATGAGCTTCCTCAGATCGCCAAGG